CCATCTCTGGTTCCATCGGTGTGTAAACGCGTACGTAGTCGAGTGGAGGAGGACACCCACACACATCGACGGGCTCGCGTCTATTTGTCAGGCACACGAGCTATCGGTGTACAGGAAGCGGAGAGAGCTTACCGCGACGATGGGTCGCTCGAGAAGGTGAGCATATGTAAGGTTCAAAATGTAAGTACATTCAAGAGGTCCTCGCCTTTGCGCCCCGTCATTGGACACCAGTTGCTCTGTCGAGTCAACCATGGCTCGAAAAGCACCCGCGTCCTGGATAAGGTTAGCGGGATAAAGCGCTGTTCCGCGTAATTGCCTCGGTTAACCCCTTCCTCCTCCCCCCTCGATATTTGCCTCAACGTTCGTCCCCATTTTCGCTACCATCGGTGATATTTTTCTCTCATTATTTTCTGGCGATGGTCAAGTATTTATTTGGAAAGATCTGTTTTTTTTTTTTCATAGTCTCGTCGAGAAGAAAGTTCGATTGATCTTTCATATCGTTAAGGAAGGGATATTTTTTTATTGTAAAATTTGGACAGTCTTGAGATACATCGAATAGGGGTAATATCGAAGGGGTCGTTGTCTTGTCTTGGAGAATATATATTATCGAAAGATGTAAATGATATAGGTTGTTAGTAATGTTATGATGATAATACATTTGTCGTAGGAGAAATTGTGAGAAAGAAGGATAGAATTGGAAGCATTGGTATTTTTAATTCGATGCTCAAGTAATCATTCGATTCTTTTAGATAGAATTGTATGTGCTTGTACGTGCCGTGATTCTTTGTCACTAACAATAAGAATCGATACTGCTTGAGAGATCACACCGCACACCTCACGTTCAAAATAGTGCACGATAGATATGAATTTCGAATATATCTATCGAAATGTACTTTCTTTCTGCCTGAGAATTGAATTTTGAAAAATTTTAATGATATATCACGATACAAGCAAGCATATTTTTAAACTGTGGTATTTTTGGGGGGGAGAGGGAAAGATTGATTTTAATTATTTTGTCGAGAAATTGAGGTGTGACGATTGGCGAACTATTTGGCGACACGGTGTTGAATATTGTAGAAAGGCGATGGGGGGAATTGGCCACTTAAATTCTCGTTAAAGACCGTTTCTAATTGATCTTGGTTCTAACGCCACCCAATTAGGAAAGCACTTCTCGTAAAGGAAACCTTTAATGAACAGTTAAGACTTATTAACCTTTTCGAATGATTATGGTCTACTCGCCACGAAATGGTCTTCGTGTATTATATTGGTCGAATGATTGCCATCAAATAATCCTTCTCTATGAGTAATTGTGATCGATATAGATATTACTTTTACATCGACACATTCGAGATTGATATACTTTGACGAAACTCTTAAAGAGTATCTGATTATTCTTTTTTTTTTTTT